ATGTAAGGGCGGATATTAGGGATATTGCTGAATAGTGTTTCTATATAGCTTTGTAACCTTTATTATGTTCACTTCATTCTTTTTTATGTTGGGTTTCACTGAATCAAATATAAAGTAATATATAATGGAACGCAAGTTTAATTTACATGCTTAGTTGTATAGTAATTATCAATTAAATTTCTACAGGACCAATAAACACAGTGGAACTACCGACTGCATGGCGGATCCTGTAGGCCGGTGGATGCAAGATGTTCGTGTGATGATTGAGCTTGAATGCATGTGCGTTCTCCAAGCCAAAACATTCCAAAGCTCGGCTGTAGACATGGCTAAACTTTCAAGGCATAAAAAGTGTACGAAATATTTCTTTGTGCATATTCTTTGAGAAAATACAATAATAAGTTTGTATTCTGTGAAATCTAGAGTGTAATAAAACGATCTAGTTGGCATAATTATAAACACTCGCTGTTTAATGAGCATCAACTCACAAGATTCTACTGTATGCAAACAATAAAAAACAACACTGTACAATTGTGTAAGTGTTCAGTTAAACATTTTGGTGGAAGCCTCCAGCTATGCATAGTGATAGACCACTAAACACCTCCAGAGAGTCAATTTCTAAGAACTTACCCCCACATATTATAAAAATAGGGATAACCCACGCACCTGACCGGATACTACCCCCTTATAACTTTACTTTACGAATCATAACGTTGACTATAATGATAGTAAGACATGTTGCTTGATTTTCTTGTGAAAGAAACCAATTAGTAATAATATATATTTATATTGCAGCAAATATTATCAGATTGCGTCAGAAGGTTTGTGAGATTTCTGCAGATTTTGTCAATTTTTACAAGTAAGCGTATTATTAGTACAGTAGAACCCCTCCTCGGGACTTCCCTATTAAGGGGACGAGGACACTTTCTGAGTATGCCAAATGGTCAAATAACCCCTATTTAAGGGACCCTTATTTTTTTTTCATTGTATCACAACATCTACAGCACTCTAAAAATAAGAAAAAATCCTTTAACTTTACATTTTGACACCTTTTTGAGCAATAAACCAGATTTTTCCCCTTAATCCATGAGAGAATATGGGATTTCTTTTTCTTTGTTTTTCGTGTATTTCATATAGGATTCTAATCTATATCAAAACATATTTCTCTATTCATGCTACATCCATCTAATAGAAAGCTCTAATGTGATTGTTGTTATTTGTAAATAACCAGTATTTGTTTACCTTTTCAGGACATTTCACATTACATACATATTAATCACATTATACTGTTTGAAACCATATGAAATTATTTTGGTCATTAACATTGCATAATGAAACAATATTGGGAACATACAAAATTGTTGTTTTAATTACATTTCTGCCGATTTCATATAAAAGAATTCTATTTGCATTGCAAATTATTGCTATAAGTTACTTCTTATTGACTGGTAAGTCAATAATAATAAAATTATAAAGAATGTATGTCATCGTTATATAACAACATGCCAAAAAATTGTATGTTTTTATTTAGTGTACCCCTATTTAGGGGACACCCCTATTAAGGAGACATTTTTTTGGTCCCGAAGGTGTCCCCTTAATCGGGGTTCTACTGTATTTTGTTAGTTTGGATTTGCATCGCGAAGTAACATTATTAAATGCTTGAATGTACGAGGGGTACCGCAAGCAGCGAATATAATAATATTATTATTAGGCCTATTATTATTAAATTTGAATCATAATTATATGATAAAATCATATCCTCTGTTGATTAAGAGGAGTCCGACCATGAGAAGAGACGGACAAGAAGTTATATGATGACTGAAAAAAGCATCACACAGGGGGTGTGCGACGTAAGACAATTCGAAATTAGGACTTTTGGAGCCTGAACTTTTTAAGGATAATCCGGCCATATCTTTACTATCAACACAAATTTGAATGCGAAAATATGGGGACGAAACACAGTTTTGGAATTAGCGGTTTCAAAATGTCTGAAAAATTATTGAAGACATGGCTTTCTGCGTTTCACATCAGAACTTGTTCTGTTGATTTTCACTATTTTAAATGGTTGCTTTAATATATGCCATTTACTCTTCTGTAGACCTGTAAGCTAATCTTTTGTCTTTGTGTTTTCAGTAACTTGGATTCAACGGATTTGAAAGATATTCGCAAATTGGCAATTCGATTAACAAACCAAATCGAAAAGTTAGTCAGGAATTGTCTCGACTTTCTCTACGCACAGTCTGTGCCATTTAGTATATCCGAGGTGAGTATAGCCTACTTTAATATTAGGTTTCTCTGTCTGAAGTAAGTGTTCCTCAGCTACAAACATTGCACAATACATAATTAAAAGGAGGATCTATCCATGATACGTCAATATTTGTCTTAATATACCCACCTATTAATTTTTTTTTTCACAATTATAACCGAAATCCCCTTGTTTGTAATATTAATTATTAGGGTAGACATTTTTTATTTCAATTCAGTACTATATATATATATATATATTGTCAACTAGTAGGCCTAACTCAAATGTTGATATACTTATTTCAGAAACAAGAACAGGTTAGAAGACAAAGCAGTATGTTGTTATGCCATATGGAAAAGCAAGTTAAATATGTTTTCTATTAAATATTCGAATTAAGTCCTGAGAAGAGGATATAATAAAATATAAATTATGATTTAGTAATAAATATCTTATAAGAGGGGTTACTCTATCTATTTTGATTAATTATTTAGCAATTATAATAATTAATAAAACCATTCACACTATTAAATTAACCAGAGTTAAAGGTAGAAGTAACAGTAATAACATGCAACACATTCAATTAACTGTTTCTTGTAACTCTGCTTTCAGTTTCAATAGAGAGGGGTCATTCGGTACTGGAGTTGTCCCGGTACTAAAGACATTAAGCAGCCTTGGCCATGCGTTTGCTGGTTTAGCCGAAACAATCCAGTCCAATTTAGTCAGGGTCAGTAATTTTTTATCATGAATATTGATACCTTTAGTACCTAAAATAACAATTACCATTGAACATGATCACGCAGATAGTGGCGTGGGCCTATCTAGGATTCTTGGAATGGGGGTCTGATGGGGAAGTTTTAGTGGCGTGCCTGGGGCGGATGTAAAGGGGTTGCGGTCGCATCCTCTTAAATTGTATTAAGAAAAATAATTGTTGTATTGTATTGTTGTAAGATTTGACAGTGCAACGGATCCGCGCCTGCCTCTAGGTGCCCAGAAATATTTATGGACACCTAGAGGCAGGCTCAGATCCGTTCGCCAATAAAGTGATAGAGAATTCCAACTCTTTCTGTCAGAAATGCCACCTACCTAAACCAAAGGCAAAAATATACAAAATAAACGTTTTGCATTGTGTAAGTATTAATCAAAGAGGGATTGTAATTAAATCGGCTGCGCGTAACGTTGGTACACTGTTGAGTTCTTTTATTATTGTTGTTGTTATTATTGTTATTATTATTATTATTATTATTATTATTATTATTATTATTATTATTTTTATTTTTATTTTTATTTTTATTTTTATTATTTATTATTATTATTTATTATTATTATTATTATTATTTATTATTACAGTATTATTATTTATTATTTTTATTATTTATTATTTATTATTATTTATTATTATTATTTATTATTATTATTATTTATTATTATTATTATTATTATTATTATTATTATTATTTATTATTATTATTATTATTATTATTATTATTATTATTATTATTATTATTTATTATTATTATTATTATTATTATTTATTATTATTATTTATTATTATTATTTATTATTTATTATTATTATTATTATTTATTATTATTATTATTTATTATTATTATTTATTATTATTAATGATGTCACAATGTATGGTTAATGCAAAATCAACCGCAGGGATTATAGGCTATGCATGTGCCTTGATTCTTATAACCTTATTAAAAGGCATAGGCCTATAAAATTTTACTATATTTTTTATTCCAAAATTACACCAAAGCGAAAACTTATTATTTAAGTTATTACTTTTTGATTAATGGATTATTGTTTCATTATTTTAAGGAATGCTATTCGTTTAAAAAAGTGTTTAATGGATTTGGTAGCCATTGGGGACCTAGAGCTTAAAACTTACGAACACACTTAGATACAGTACATCTAAAAGAAAGTCAAAAATAACCACCGAACACTAAATGACTGAAAATTAACACAGAATCTGAAAAAGAGCAATGACGTGTATGGTATGTAAATTTCAAATCATACAGCGTTGGAAATGGAAAAATAATATAAAAAAAAAATACTGAGAAATTCAGAAGATATGCCTATAAGCGTATAATACTGTACTGTATTAATTGGCCGGTAAAATGTAAAGTTTCCCGGCCCGTATATCCAGTAGGTGGGGGTGTTACGAAGAGTGTGTACAGTATAAGGCACCCCACCAAATTTAATAAGGTCCACATTTCCAAGACAGTCGAGAATGTACTGAATATAAATTTGCGATTTTCTGTGATTTAAAAAAAAAATCATCTTAAATTTTTACATTTTAACCAGTAGGCCTAATCTACTCAGTCTGTCGTGATTCGGAAAAACGCAATTTATTCAATTTTTAAATTTTGGCTTAGGGGCACCCTGTGGATGTAATCTATCATGGAACGTGATCATATACTCCAAACAATTTTTTGAAATATGAAATTATTATGAGAGTTATGCATTATATCCGACCGTCCAACCACTAAGCATTGAAATGTTTGCAATCACCAATCACAGAAGTCATTTATGCATAGGCCTATTTAATTACTTTCCCAACTGGTGGGGGTACAAAAAATGCATTATTATTTTTCCTGAAGTTAAACTTAAAAGTTGTGGTCAAAATATAAATTTTAGAACCGCACTATTAACAAGATAATTAGGTTAATCCTTCCACGTCGGTGCGTGCACTGAAAACGTATTTTTTAAAATTGAATTTAACATGTGTATAATGATTTTGGTAAACAATCATAATTCTCTGTACTATCTATTAAACTTATGTTGCGGTCATATTAGACTATAATATTTTTAAAGAAGACCATTCAACAAACAACATAAAACAAAATTTCCACGTCGAGGCATGCATAAAACGTATAATTTCCTGAAATTTGGATATAGAGCGGACTTCCTTATGATTTAGGCCTAAGGAAATATAAATGTATATGGGTCTGAACTTTGTAGGTGACAAAGTGTTCTTCCTTATGTTGTGGTCATATTAGAATATATCATTAAAGACCATTCAACAAACAACATGAAACATAGACCTATATAAAACTTTTAGGTTAAACGTCCCGCTTCCGAGCATGCATATAACGTAATTTTTTTAGATATATGCTATTTTCATGACAGTCGAGAATTATACTGATTATATAAATTGTAAATAATTACTGTTATCCGATTGTGTGCATTGAAAATGTACGACGAACTCGGGATACGGGCCTCGGTTGACACTCATATCAAAGGGCCTGTTAATTAATCTTGCACAGGAGCCTGTCGTCACCTGTTACGATGCCTCCTCCTCCTCCTTATCATCATCACATCACCATCATCATCATTAATTGTGTAATATTAATGGTAAAATTGGGGGGAACTATTAATTCAGTGTGTAATCATCAATAGAAGTCTCGTAATGCACGCAAGTGCATTTCCCAGCATCTAGGAAAAAAAAAACTTTACGAAGCTAGGAAAACCCAAAGACTACCGGTACTACAAAGCATCTCCACCACGCCCACGTCTAAAATAGTCTTCCGGCGACGGAACAAGCAAGCATTACGTTCTCTTCCCATGACCCCGCCCACTGAGGGACCCCATGGTGATCTAGTCAGGGTAAAGCTCAGTTTCCATATAATCGCTTACCCTATCGGCGATAGTCGCCGATAGTTATCGGGAAGGTTGAACCTGGTTAAACTTTTCCGATTGCGTTGCAGGCGCAGACGAATCAGGGTGCATTGCTAGCAGCCCTGCGCAATCGGGAAGGCACCCTGATTCGTCTGTCCACAGCTGTCACGACTGTGCCGATAGGGTGAGCGATTCTATGGAAACCCAGCTAAACTCTGGATCCTCGCCTGAGAGGTCCCTCTATTCTCAAAATGTTCTATTCCCTCAGCCCCAACCATGGTGGGGGCAGTGAGGTGGACCCTCACACACTCACTACCGCCAAATCCTTCATCCGCCCCAGGTGTGCGCACCTCTGGTTAAGCCACTGCTCACAAAACCTTCCAAGCGATTCGTCCTCCAGGATTCATAGTATAACCAGCAAACCATTCCATAGAGTGAGTGTCTGCACAAAACAGAGGAACCATTTTACCAGCTCAAACAACATTCAAATACAGTTTTGTTACTCTACTGATGTTTACTAGCCCAACAAACTGCAAACATAACATGAAAAACCATCTTACAATTTTTCATCCTAAACGACCCGTTAAAATCTAACCTCTGAATACGCGTTTTACATAAAATTCTGTATTTTTTAGGTAGGCTATGTTTCGATATTAGTGTATACTCTGAGCACGGGAGCAATGTAATTATTGGACGCTGTTTATAACTTAAATTATTTTAACTTTTACGTTATTTCACAGAGCTTGCTAGAGGACATACAAGGTTCAGCCAGCATGTATCACCTCCGTGTCGCATTACAATCATTACAAAGTTTGACGACTGACTATAAGGAAATAAGTAACATTATCATCAAGGTAAACCCGTTGAAATGATCAGAATGACAAAATAAACTAAGCATCTACTGGAAGGAATCCCAATATCTGCAGACGGATCCGTTTCGGCCTTCCAGGCCTCATCAGTGCAGCTAGGGTATAGACCCAAACGAAACGTTCGACCAGTAGGGCCCAAACTAGTCCCACGACCACTTATGATTACAGAGCCAAACCAAAGCAATATATATACACATCATATATACTTTCCATCTCATGCATTTCAAGGCACTTTCTGTTTTATCGATTAGGCTGGTTGCTAAGCAACAACAGCCAAAAAATCTCTGCAATTGCAGGAAAACAGATGAATGTCCACTCTCTGGAAATTAACTCACCTCATCCATCACCTACAAAGCCACTGTCCACTCAAATGATGACACAAAATGCTACGGTACATCGGGCTCACTGACTCGTCATTCAAAACCCGATACACAAACCACAAATACACTTTTAACACCCCCAAACACAGAAACAGCACCGTAGCCTACTCTCCAAATAAGTATGGAAATTAAAAGACAGCAACACACCCGACAATATCAAAAATGGTCTATTATCGACAGAGCATCGGCTTACTCCCCAAAAACAAACGCTGCAACCTAACCGAGAAAATTCACATAATATATTCAAACAGTCAACACTAAACAAAAGAACCGAGCTATTGTCTAAATGCAGGCACAACAACAAATACCTACTTAAAAACAATTAAATCATTTGAATTTTCACCTGTCTCAGCATTCATATACTCACACAATCCTTGTATTCTCTCACTCCTGAGTGATTATACCCAGTGATTATACCCAGTTCTACATTTTCAAAATTTACGCTCTGCATTATCACGTGTATCGAGCACTGTACGTTGCTAGTATTGCCCACTAAATTTATTCATATAGGCCTATATGAATATATGTATATATAAGCAATTTGCGCTCCGAAGCAAGAAGCGAATAAAGAAATAATACTGTAAAACAGTAATAGCAACTTTGAGCTACAGTAGCTGTTTTTTTTTAATGACAGACCCTACCCCAATTTATCAGTATTATCCTTAACCTTAACCAGAATTCCTTAAGAGGGGTTCCCAGCAATCGAGGGGAATAGTTCTGCCCCCTGGCATGTGATGGTAGATTTTGTAGGCTTGCTTGATAGAGGAGGCGTAGTTTGGTTATTCAGAAGCGTTTGCTCAAAAGGGGATTGTCGAACAGTAGAACCCCCACCCTCTGGTTACCTACCTGGACGAGTTTAATTTTTTCTTATTTATTTTTAAAAGGAGGATGGTTTACAGATCTTGTGTCAGATATGTTCTATAAACAACGTTGATGCGATGAAGGTAGATGCCTTGAGAACAATTGGAGTGCTTTGTGAAACACAGGAAGCGCGTATAGAATTTGAAAAGGTAGGCCTATAAAGCAATTATTAAACTTAACTAAATTTATGTAATCCACAGCACAGTCTTGTGCATTAACCATCTTATTACATTTGACGTCATTCTTACAGACATAGTGAATCTAGTTGTTAATGATAATAATTGCTATCTTTACAGTATTGCAATTTACTATATTTATATTATATGTTCTATTATTAAATCATGTGAATGGTGACATTGGTCATTGTTGGATTTTGATGAAGTAAAATAAAAAATAAAATAATGTTGTTGTTATTGTTATTATTGACTATTATATTTATTATGAAATTCTATGAATCTATAATTAAAATTAACACCATTTTGAGACTAGTATGCAGTGAATTATAGAGTTTTATTCTGTTAACAACATGCGAAGTTAATTGCTTGTAGGTTTTGCAACACAAACACTTTTTCTGTAGGCCTGGTGCATTACGCTCAGCCCCGTAGCCAGTTTCCCTCCCCCTCCTTGCTAAAATCAAAGATAAGGAAATAATTACAACTAAGTTCAGCTCCAACCGTGACGGGATTGAAGTGAACGTGGCCCTTCTAGTACTTGCCCCTACCCCCGATCAACGACTCTATATAGAAATGATTACGCTACTGTGTGTGGCAAGCGAAATTCATTGTTATGCAAGACAAACAAATAATAATAACACGTAAATTGTATCTTTTAGGCAAACGGAATACCTGTACTTGCGCACTTGTTGTCATCCGAATCGTCAATTGAGGTGAAGGCAGAAGTAGCTAGAATCTTAGCGCAAATTACATCGCCTAATGTAGATAGTATCCACCACCTCATTGGTTTTATAGAATACCTTGACGATCTTTTAAGAGAACTCACAGGTGGGTGATAAAACATTTTTTCTGAATCTTATATGTACGGTTACCAGGGAACATGCTTGCTTGTTTATGTTATTTTATACTGTAATAAATTAAAGAAACAACAATGGGAAATAACCCCAAATTCGAGACCACCGTGTCGGTACCTGAAAATTTTTGGTAGTCTTGCGGTTATATCTCCAATAAGAAGGCTAGATTTTAAATGTTATTTAGTTCTGTAAAAAGTGGTCTTGAATCAGAGGGGTCTCTGAATTTGAGGGTACACTGTAATTTTCATTAATTACTTCCTCTATAGATATAAAAATAAATATTAAAAAATAATTTTAATATGTTGTAGCAAAATTCATTCATTTGGAGATAATGTCATCCACAGCCATCGATTATTGCTGGCAGTGGATTCTGGTGCTATAAAAAAAGTTGTTACGATTGATTGATTGATTGAAAATTGTGTGTTTGCGGTACGAATAATCTACTACTAAATTAATGAAAATCTTTATGATGTAAAAAATATGTTTATTATTAATATAATCATTTAGCGATAAAAATAATAACAGCACCAAGGCTAATAATAATTAGAAATGTATAAAGCACCCTTCACATAATTCATTGATGATATGATTCTAGCCAAATTGTACATATTTTTTATATAATTTCTTAGAATTATGCAAATTAGCACCATCACCTTCAGTTTTTATGGTGGCGACAGCAGCAATATCCAACATCACTTTCATGGACAGTATGTCTTGCGACTACCTAGCAACGTATAATACTGCTGAGGCACTTCTTTCTGGGTGTAAAAGTGGCAAAGCAGAGAGTCTGTATTGCAAAGATCAGGTAAATTTTTTTGCTATCAAAAATCATAACAAAACTCTTATGATTCATATACTAGACATGATTGTCCAGTTGACAATTATCGCTTCTCTTCTGCATTATATTTCTATGCATTGAAAATTCCTCTGAATTTTATCAATTTATTTTGCATGATATATTTAGAAAGACATGTTTTCTCAGAGGTTTAATTCAATCTACAGCTCCCCCGCTACCTTTCACCACCCACCTATTTGTATTGTAGTTCTGGACAACTTGACCTGTAAACTTGAGATTGGCTTGTTGCAGTTCAAAACACTAAACCTAAGAGTCCATCGAAGATTTTTGCATCCAATCTTTACATTTAAACCTGCAATTTATATTTAGTCACGGCACTCAATACAAAAAAAATAATGGTAATTTTAATATATCCCATGGTTCCCATGGGCCTAAGCGGCATCTTGTTTGGATATTCTCCTCTTTGATATGTTTAGAGTTTGAACCACTTGAGTTGAAAATACTTGTGGGAAATCCAATGATTTTGAACCCAGAACACCACTCTAGAACTTCTCCAGTCTATAAGAATACCATCCCAAAATTGCACCATCTAACATCACGTTCAAGATTATAACTCTTTATTTTGCAGATTGCAACAACACTTGCAAACATGGTATCCTCTAAAGCGTGTCGACAACAAGTTATCGATGCAGATGGTGTCAGGGTATTATTAAATTTACTTGATGAGGCGGTACTTCCACTCAAGTCGATCAATCAAGAAGACTTGCGGAGGATGCATGAACTTTGTGAGAGTGTACAACAAAAGGCACTTATAGCTCTCGGAAGACTTGCACAAACCAAGACTTCTGCTATGGTTATTATAGAGATACAAGGTAAGTTCACTACAATGTAAAAAAGCATTGTTGAGGTATGGAAGCATAATATGGTGTAGCATTAAGCAATAAACTAAAACTTGAACTTCCTGTTGATGTCCGACATGAACTTTTGGAATTAAATTTTTTTTATCAGAACTTTTAAACTATCTTGTGCTAAGTAATAATTCATTTTATTTTAATTTTTCGTGTCTCGCATTTTACCCATGCAAATTGAACAGCTTAACATTAGTTTTACGCTGCAATTTTGGTATTTCAGTATCTATTGTATTGTTAATTTCTTTTTTATCTCTTTCGTATCTCAAATTTTACCCTTCTAAATTGAACAGTTAAAAATTAGTTTTATGTGGCCGGCACTTTGTTTTCAATTTGTATTGCATTTTAATTTTTTTATTATCTAATTAACTTTTGACTGATGATTGTACATATACATATTTGAATATATATATTTAATGATATTTTTACATAACTATTCTATGCGAATCTGTGTTCTCATTGGCATCGCAGAGAAACTAGACAGTCATTTAATTCACTTTTTAGCAATCCTGTCCGGCAAATTGAGTGTTTTTTCCTCCCTGTCTTATGTTGTGTCAGTTTTATTGTTCTTTGGTTCATATAAATGAAATGAAATAAAATGACAGGGTTTTTTTGGGAGTGATTTTTGCCCCATAACTGATGTCTTATCGACGTTCAAAATAATTGAGGGTGCGGGTTCCTTTTCTATCAGAATCACATCACATAGATAACTGCATTTTGTGTCACTAACCGAATACATACAATCCATCATTTTTATGATGCATTCTATCACCATTTTGCAAACACAGGATTTAATTTATCTAATATCAAGGTATCAATAGAAGGCTGATATAAGCTCTGTTGGCTTTTGGATGGTAGATCCATCATTGTTTCATAAAGGATGCAAAATCCTATTATTTTGACAAAACAATTTGTCAAATATATAAAAAGTATTTTAACATAAACCTAGGTACGGTATTTGATGATTTATTCATGTAACAAAATGATTTGTTACTGCTCGTACAGGTGCCAAAAGATTAGCTGATTTGTGTTACAATTCCTTGGAAAGGAACAACAGTGATTCTGTGCTTCTTGCAAGCCTGGTAAATATAGTTATTATTGTTTTCCTCGCACTTATATAATTTAAAACATCCATGTTCTTATGACATCACCACTAACAACTGGATCTAAAGGTAGGAAAATTATCTGAGGGTCACCAATTCAATAAAGCTGATCATTTTGCAGCGGTCCCAAAATTGGGAGAAGTCACTTCAGGGAGATGGTCAATGGTTGTGCACTTGTATAGCGCATAACATTCGTCTCTATGAGCTCTCCAGAATAACAGAGAGAAAAAAAAGCATAAGCGGGTGGTAAAGAAATAAAAAGCAACACCAAAAGTGATACAAAAGATAACAGGAGAGTGGAGGAAAATTAGAGATTGTCAAATAAGAATGACTTAAGGCGGCACATGGAGGTAATTAAATTAGAACTTTCTAAACACATAATTGTATTTTGCTGCGAGTGGTGATACCAATGGCCAAGGAGGCACGGAGTGTCAAACTTAAAAGCTGACCAATCAGAACAGTGCCAGGAATATGCGCATGTCTAAAAAGCGCACATGTTCACATACATTATCAAAGAACTTAAATAGCAGAAGAATGAGCTGTTCCACGTATTTGCATTAAAATTGATGGAACATCCGCCCTCCCGCGAATGGGGTAAGATTTGAATATTTTACTAAGTGGAGAAACTACAGGAAACAAACGAACCAGAGCGGCGCCTTTATTATTATTACTATATAGCGCCGCCGCGGACGGGGTAAAATTTCACTCCGTGTACCCACAATGCCTTTCGAACGGATGTTCCACTATATTGGGCAGCTGCTCTATCTTCTGCTATTTATTATCTTTGACATTATCAGCAACAATATCTGTGTTTGCCACCCAAATTCAAAAAACACATACAGATCAACAGAGTCCATACATGCATGCCTAGCAAGCACGCACACGTGTTGGCCCAAAATGCACGTATTTGCATTTGTTTCAACACAAGGAAATAGTTGTTTTGTTCTCTTTGATTTCTTGTTTCAATTCCTTGCCAGCTAGCTTTCTTTTACAGTAGTTCTATCAGGATAGGAGGCGCCCAAGTCCTGGGATGGCCGAGGCTCAACTGGTGCTGGACAGGGTACATTTTGACAGATCCCTGCTCAGCGGCTAGGGTGTATCACCGTACTGTGTTTTGGGTGCTGGATTGGAGCTCTTCTTTCCTAATTTTTCCAATTACATCTATTCACTATCTATATATTAAATATATATATACAGTAATATATTTTTATATTATTTATTTTTCTATTTTTCTGCGAGATCCTAGTAATCTGCGCAGTACAAACTTAACCTTAGTTTTCGATTGCACGATGAGGGTAGGACATAAAACGTAATGACAATATTAAAAAGTCATCTGCGCATACAAGAACGTTAAGTTGGATTCCAGGACGCAATTTGGCCGAAATCTAGGCTGTGCATGGGAACGTTGGACAGCCATCCATGAATCCATTCTAGCGCCACATTGAAGCACAAATCAGAAGTTCCCTACTGTGGTTTTGTGGGACCTTATAAACAATATTCATGGGGTGTGGCTTAGCGGAAAGGTCGATTTTCTTGTAAGCTGGACAAATTTTATTTTTCCTCTGCTTCTTTTTTAAATACCTTGTTAGAATTTGTTGATATTTTCTGTGTTTTGCAGGTAGCGCTCCGACGACTTTCCACATTTAACGCTTCAAGCGGGTTGGACGATATGGTAATTGAACAGCTCATCAAACCGAGGATCACAGATTCTTTCCTCTTTTGCTCAAAGGAAAAGGAAAGCTTTGTATAACTGGAAGTAATACAAATAAAATCCACTTCCATTGTTATTTGTAAATGTTGGCTTATAAAGCTGTAACATGTCATAACATTTTGAATTGTAATTGCTCAGAATTGCAAGTAAAAACAATGAGTTGATAGTTATCATTAATGTGTACATCTCAGGAAAGATCACTTTTTTTAATGTGAATATTTTCTGAAAGTATTGTATCAACTGACTTCAAGAATTAGATACAAAGCAGTGAAAGTTTAATATTTCATAAATTTTATTGAGCAAAATAATTTTTGCATTAAGATCAGGAACAAATTAATTACCTGATCATTGATTCAGATTTTCACTACACTATTTATCCCAAGTAAAATAATGCATCATTAATATACTGATTGATTTCTTTTATGGTAATCCCTGATCTAAGAAACCTCATAATACGTGATGATACATAATAATAATAAAAATTGTATTTGCTTTCTTGTCAATTATTTATCTAAATGTAAGATTATTGGATTAGCATTTGGAACAGCAACATTGTTTGCCCAGGATAATTAGATCAAACTCATTAATATGAAATATGAAGTATTCTACATTTATATGGTGCAAACGAGGGCGCCATTACAAGCTTTATGAATTAAAATACCTTCAAAAGACAATTGGCACCACAGCTGTTTAGAAAAGAATTTACTTTCTTTTACATCTACATGGTGCAAATGAGGGCGCCATTACAAGCGTTATGAATTAAAATACCTTCGAAAGACAATCGGCGCCGAAGCTGTTTAGAGAAGATCTATATATTTTTTTTGTGTTCTAATTTATTTCTTCATGAAGTTTGACTGCTGTACAAAATGCATACAAATCCAATGTTACATAAAAATTTCTTTGCATCAACAAACTTGTGGATACCGAACAATCTGCCAAATAATATATTCTGCTTGGCAAAAATATAAACCCCTATATAATATTCATTGTCTAAAAACTAGTAAGAAGATCTGCATAGCATTAATAAACCGTCCCCAGTAAATATTACATAATATTTGACTAACATTGCCCAAAAATCTGCCTGACATTGATATAATATTGTTGGTGTCTATAAAATTGTGAAAGCGATCTTTTAAACCAATATATACAATTCCAAATTCCAAATTTGAATATTATGTTTTTCAAGTGCAAACCAATCTTAAAAAAAAAAAAAGATTAATGTTTCACAATTCAAATCACAATTGACTTATAAAGCAAATTTTTCTTAAAAACCCATTGATCCAACAAATGTTCGCATCAAGTTTGGTTCCATTTACAAGTTGGCTGCTTTCGCACTTTGCTGAAAGGAAATCATAGAAACAATTGTACTAATAATCAACAAGCCAGTTAGCACAATTCAATTTTTTGCTTGTTTTTTTTGTTATATTTGTAGATATGGGAATATCACTTTAATGATAATGTTGGACTACAACAATGATGATGATCATTCAGATTTCTTTTAATTGTTCAAAAGGAAAATATAAATGAGTATATCTACATCAAACAACCCAATTGTGGTTGTGAAGATGGTGATGATGAAATGGTGTTATATCGATGACGATAACTTGATGGTAGCATTTATATCAGTGACGATGATGATACCTATACTGTACTACAGTACTGATTGTGGGCAGTGCACTTTGTTGAACGCAGTGCCCGTGGACAAAATCTTCTTTGATATTTTTTTGCATTGCTGTATTGTCCAGACTGCAGGCACCACAGGCCCTTTTTTTTAAAATAATAAATAGGGGTGGGTTGAAAAATTTTTCTTTATTTTTTTCTTTTTAAATACTCATCAGATGGAATAAAAATAACCCACAGAGGCCTAGAATGGCAATATCTTGTATCAGACAACACATTTAGATTAATTTGTAGGCATCTGGCAAAAAATAAAGACAAAATTTACTCACACTTTTTTTAATTTGTAAAAAAAATGCCTTATATTATGCCAAAAGTGAAAATTGTGGGCGAACGCTGCCACCTTAAATGCAACATCACTACAGTACTTCATATTTTACAATTCTCTAATTAAAAATTGACCTATAATATATTAAGATATCAGAAAATATTTTATGTATATTGTACAAAGCAATTAGGTTCATCTCTACAGTATCATTTTATGTATCTGAATGTATTGACATACATGACGGAGCGATCTAATTAATCTGTTTGGTAGGCTTAATATCATTTTCTGTTCAGATGGATAATCATGCTGCTGATGCTAATACAAATTCACCTTATTAGGCCCTTCTGTAATTGTAACTTATGGGTTACATTTATGAGCCAAGAATGTTTTTATACAGCTAAGCTAAACCTTGCATATCTTGTGCCGCGAGCCCCGCAGGTAAGGGGAGCAGCTTTAAATCAATATAATGTTCTTTTCTAAAATCTTGACCGTGGCCACTGCGGGCTGGCTTCACCGCGCAAGCAGCTGATGGATGTGGAATGTGATGCCTGCAGGAAAAATGCGCTGCCCGCAATCTGTATGGTACATCGTCTGTACTAACTGGGAATCTGTTTTTATGAAAATGAAAACGGAAGGAGAATGAATATCATCATCCCTCCCATCAACAATTTTTTTTAACCAACCTTTTTGTGTTCATCCAGAAGTTCTTGGATACGCTTTCCGCATTCTGCGTCTACTTGTGTGAAATTACCAACCTATAAATAAAAAGAATATCAATCAATTAACCAAAAATAGAAAGTGCTAATAAGTATTTGTAGGGGAAAAAACCAAAGAGAAAACCATAGTTTTAAATATTTATATATGTTCGCAAAACGAATGTCAAATTACTTTTACCAACTGTTGGTGTAATGAGCACAAAATTGTTTAGATGGAGGTCATGATGACTAGAACCACAGAGTGTGGAGACCAACACATTCCCTCAAACTCTCCCCTTTCTAATCAATTAGCATTAGTTACCCCTGGATTGCCTGTTTTGTTTAATGATTCATAATCTTAAAACAATATTGTAAAGAAAAAAACAGTATAATGCCAGGTTGGCAAGTATAAAAAAATATAAGCTTTAACACTAAGGCCGGAAATACACGGCAGCAATGGTCGCCAGTTGACACGATTTCATGATGAATGCAACACGAAGAGGCATGTGCAGTGAATATTTTTTAATGAAAATCTCCTCGGACTGAGCAGCTGTCAAGAGCCCACTGGCCACCTCAAGACAAAACGACGCAACGCACATTTTTGTTGATTTTGAGAATATATTAAATGCATTAAATTTCAGGTCTCATCAATGATGCATATTGTAGAAAAACAATTGTCTTTAAGTGTGCAACTTACAATCTAGTTATCTTTCCTGGTAAAACAATGTAACTGAAAGATGGCAAAAACCATGACACTGTTTTAGAATGGCATTCAAAATTGTTTTCAGCCGACTGAGTTTGATGGTGCTATACATATCAACAATTGGTGTATGCACACGCTCCCTAATACATACGATTGCCCCTGATGTGATAAATTCAAAAATTTAGTTGCACTTGCTGCAATACAGCGCTTGAAAATTCTCATATAATAGTAGATGGAGCCATGTTAATCTGGTGTATGAAATAAAAAACATAATGGTAGCGCTTTATAGATCAACTTAAATTACAGTATTTATAACACAAGCTTTCGTCAGCAGTCTATAATATCTTTATCAAGTGTAGTGAAAATTCTCGATGTTCCCGAGGTAAAACAACTGTTACAGACCTATCAAAATTTTACAATATACAGTAATCATAATTTCTATAGATCTATGGTCCTGCAAAATATAAGGGTATGAAAACTTGTTGCTGAGTTACAAACAAGCTAACTCAATTTTTCTTCAAAAAGTGAAAAGTTTCAAGTTCCGTCATTTTGCCTCGGAAAAGCCACAATACAGAGCAGAGGTGAATTCGTCAACTGACGGGTGTACGGCCAATGCAGGGTGTGCGCATTCACATTTCTATCGGAATTTTTCGTTTTAGAGAAATCAGTAGTTAAATTGTTACTAATTTTTGCGAAAAAATGTACAACCAATCAGAGATCAGGAAGCAAACCAAATGCCTTCGATTCACACAAATTCGTCCAGTGTAAAACCGGCTTTAAAACTTACGGTTCTCTTTTGGATGAACTCTGAAGCATCTTTCAAATGGCCGGCAATGTTGGTAACCAGGGCAGTCCTGTCGCTAGGGGACAGAACCTCTCTCCAAAATGTGGTGACCTGCGCGTAATTGTCATCGTCAGCAGTGTTGTAGCGTTTGACATCACCAGAGGCTTCATACGTTGATGGTGAAAATTTGGCATCATCAGTAGGGCCGCTGAAGCTGTTTGGGAAGTAGTTAGGAGCTCCACCTGCGAAGAAAATCAGCACAATAAAAGAAATCCATTATACCTTATGTATAAATTTATTTTGACTAATTACCTCACGGTTCGACTTAGAAAGTTGTTAATACAATAGAGCTCTTCCTTTGGACACCCATATAATGACACTATTTTGACTGCGAATCGAGAAACACCCTATCTTTTTAACTACTACGTCCATCCCCTATTCAGTGGACACCCTATTACGAGGAAACTAATTTTGGTCCTGACAGTATCCCTTTAAGAGGTTTTCTACTGTATTTGTACAGAGAAACTGCAATCATCGTAGTGGGAACGTTGTTCATGTTGATACGTTGAAATCATAATAAATAAATGTTATTTGCATATAACAGTATTTTCAAGCAATATTTGCAATTATTTACAATCACCTCAACATATACCACTTATATGATGATGTTTAAGCATAACATTATGTTTTCAATGATTAAAATTTCTCCCCTGTCTGGTTACAGAATCGGTACATGTGTGTTTTTTTTATTCTTCCAATATCTTTATGTACCATAGTTGAATGTAAAAGAATTTATGATGAAATATGAACACACCTTGGTTATCTGTGACGCAAGCTGGACCGTCTCGGATGTAGTTGCGGACTTTAGCAGCAAACGGACAATTAACAGGAATCTGAAGGTAGTTGGTTCCAAGACGATGACGATGCGTATCAGGATAGGAGAACATGCGGCCCTACAAAACAAATCCATATTGATTGGACACTTATTCCAACACTGATTGCCTATCACTGTCTCTAAGATGGCTAATATTTACCGTAGAGCTATTAATTGGTTCTAGATTGGAATCCTCATGGAGCCAATAATTGTCTAATGTTTCAAAAGCTCAATTATCCACATTGGTTCTTGTGTGCATGAAACCATTTTTAACATGGTTACTGACTGGTTTTTGCATGCACAAAGCCAATTTAGCATTTGATTACTGATTAATTTGTGGGTGTATTTTATGTCTGCACCAAAACATACCATGTGGTTATTAGTTCTTGCGTAAATCAAATCATTTCTCCACGGTTATTGGTACTTGTGTGGAACAAACCAATTTAATAGTTAGTTGTTCAATAATTGCACCAAAACAAATTAACTTATTGGTTCAAAATGTATGTGCAGAAAACTAAGGTATACTACATGGTATTAGTGGTTGCTGATTAGTGGTTGATGTACCTTAAACCAATATACACCATGCAATTATTGGTTATTTGGGTGCACCAAACCAATAGGCTATTGGTTCATAAGTGCATCCAAACTAAGATAATATGTGGATATTGATTTTGTGTACCTTTAACCATGTGGTCATTGTTTCTATTGGGTGCACCAAACCAACTGTCATTCACTCTTGCATTAGACCAAATTATGAAGTGGTTATCAGTTTTTATATCCACCAACATAATTTACCATGCTGTTATTGGCTTTTTTGTGGCCAAATCAGTTATGGGTTTTTGTACAGCAGATTTTCAGATTAGTCATCAGTTTTTGTATGCACAAAATATATTTACAACATGGTTGTTGTTTTTTGATGTGTACCAAACTATTTTATGAAACAGGTATGGCTTTGTGCGAGAAAAAACTAACCTGCAACATCTTATCGGGAGAAGGCTCAATACCTGGGATCAAATGTGCGGGACAGAAAGCAATTTGTTCCACCTCAGCGAAGTAGTTCTTAGGGTTCAGATTAAGAACCATCCTACCAACTGGAATCAATGGGTACTCCTTCTGTGACCAAACCTTTAAAATAACATTCACAATATTTTCAAAAAAATCACTATGTTGACATAATTGAATAAATTTTATATGAATGAATGAAGAAATAAAACGTAAACAAAATTTAATATATAGTTATTCCTTCCCTGGGCTTGTTCACAACCATGAATGAGGTATACTACATTCACTGGAGGCAGCTTAGCTCAGTCAGCTTAACTGTAGAAACCAGTGTGCACTTAACCATGGAGACTTAGATCTTAGATTAAGTATCTGCCTTTGCTTTCTTGTGTTTAGCTGGAGAAATGAAATCCAAGTTTCAATAGCACATCACCTTTCAGATGTGATATTTAAGCTGTTGGCCTCATGTACATAAACCATGTGCCCGTTTAAAAATGCAGTATTCTCTTTAAAAAAACAGAGTAGTGGTTGTCTTCCTGTGTACTGTCCAATTCACAACCAGTTGGACCCCACCGGAAATAAGTCTTCAAACTTTTATGGGGTATCCTAGGTGTAGATCATACCTAAAAAATCCAAACTATTGTAGAACACCTCTATTAAGGGGACATTTTTGACCGCAAATCAAGAAAAACTCATCTACACTACATCCAATCCCTATTTGGGGGACATTCTTATTAAGAAGACACCCCTATTAAAGGAACATGCCTACTAAGGGACACCCTTATTAAGGAGACCATTTTTTTTGGTGAATGAAGAGAAAACATATTTTAACATTGTGACCAATCATAAACAGGGGACATCACTATTAAAAAGACAGGTTGCGGAGCAAAAAATCTTTTTGATATGTTGGAACTGATTTTTCTATGACACGAAAAGCATATTTAATAAAAACTCGGAAGCGGTAATGAGATACAGATTTTTGAATTTTTGTAAAAAATGTGGGTAAAGGTTAAAAAAGAAAGGTTTTAAAATACTCATAAATCTGCATCTCATTAAACCACTGCCGAGTTTTTCGTCAAATAGCTTTTTGTGTCTTAGAAAAATCAGTTCTACAATATATATAAAAAGAAATTTCATCAGGAGCCAGGCTTTGAAGTGACACTGTTTTGGTCCAAAAGTAGTGGGGGGGGGGGTCTACCTTCCTTCTACGGTGGCAGTATTAGACAAACCCCTTACCTTTGTAAGATCAAATGGATTGAATTTAAACTTCTCAGCCTCCTCAAATGTCATTACTTGAATCTTCAGCGTCCATGAAGGCTAATAAAAAAACAGAAAAGTAATAATTATCAATTAATATTAACATATATTTATGTGAAATTCATTTGATGATATAAAATAGATTGTTACAAAATTGATTATGTAATATATTTTATGAAATACTGAAAATATCTTTTATACAAATATAATTGGTGAGTTGACAACAAACAAATATTCTGAAAATAGTATAATGGCAATGACTGTGTACCTGTGCACATATTATATTATAGGAAGGTCTCTATGCTCTCTTGAGGCAAGTGTTTGAATGAAATCATAACCAAAGAATATCCTACAACTAACAGTTAGGCAAACAACTGAAGAGACAAAGAGAGATGAGCAAAAAGAACCAGTGTCACTTTTCCATTCTCCAGCACTTGATAAAAATACAATTTAAAAATCAGTTTGATAATAAACAATTTTTGACATATAATTTATAAATACACAAAAACTACAAATCCTAAAGAAATATGAATTAAAAAAAATCATAACCATAAAGAATTTCTAACAACACAATTAATTTATAACACAATTTATGAGAAAAAATACAAAAATATAATTCACACAAACACAATCTAATGTAAAATGTCACTTGACCACAAACAATTTCTGACCAATACAAATGTTAAAAAAAGTTGAGTATAAGATTTTCTGACAAAATAATTTCATAATAAACAATTTTGAAAATAAATATAAAATTTACAGTATGTAAAAATTAATTTTAAATAAACGATTTCTGTCAAGGCAATTTATGTTGAAAAAATGTTAAAGGGGAGATATAGGAAATAATGTATCTTATAACATATTCTAGTGTAAAATCCTTTCCATGTCTTTGGATGCTAATGAAACAGTTGAAATGTATCATAATAAAATGACCTTGTCTTGTAGTATTATAGGCAAATCAACATAAAGAATCTAATACCCTTAGGTTTTAATATACAAAATTTCAGCATATGCCTTTTGCATTAAAAAAAAACTGTCAAAAGGGAGGGAAATTAGAAGAGCTGCAAGCTTCCTGAATGAGTCAGCTACCTTTCAATTGTCTGCTAAAAGGCATATTAGCAAACAATCACTTGCAATTCCATAGTTTTTAATATTTATGCACGTTTGTCAAAGTATAATTGTATCATAGTTTCTCTGGTATAAGCCCACCAACTCCAGCCACCCCCCCCCACCCCAACACAAAATTGGGCCAATTTTTGGAGATGGGCTTACACCCGAGGAATCCATTTTCAAACACACAGCAATTTTTCAGCACTTTATGCCTAATTCAAAGCGAAAATCAGATATTTTTTTCTGAGAATATTTGTAAGGCTTTTCACCCAAGGAAAGGCTGGTATATAGAACTGAGCTTAAAGTAGTGGGTGGACCTGAAGTAGGCTTATGCCCGAGGAACTTTGGTAACAGATAAATTTAATAGTTAGATTTACATAAGTGTGTCATGCACAAAACATAGACCTCTAGGATGTACTTTTAGTAATGTAACCCATTTAATAAATTTATTTATTATCATCATTATTTTCATATTTCTCCATTACAGTGCATGATAATGAGTATGCTTGCACAATATTTATGCTACAGTAGGCATTGATGCTGAAGCAGATGCATAGCGACACCGTCTGTCTAATCCCAAGTTGTCCAAGGGAAACTTTATTTATATAATTCCTTGGGTTTAATGCAGGCTTTAATAAGCACATGATCATAGTATTGAAAGGTGCATCTTTCTGAAGAAGCTACACTTAATTAACAGGGCAGGATTTGAAATGGTCAACAAGACTTGAGCCCATGACCACAGTACTGGAATGCAAGCATCTTAACCACCAACCTATCAACATCGAAGGATTCGAACCCAGAATCCTAGGACTTGAAGGCAAACATTTTTACCACAGAGCTGCGCTCCATTCTATCAACTTTGCAGGATTCAAACTCAGAACCTTAGGAAAAGAAGGCAAGCATCTTAACCACAAAGCTGCAGCTCCACTCTATCAAATTGAAGGATTCGAACCCAGGACCTTAGGACTAGAAAGCGAGCATCTTAACCACAATCTTAACCTAACAAACCCCATAAACAAACTTTACACAGGCTTTGAATTCAGCAGCTATAAAACAGCAATGAAATCCTATATGCATGCTAACTACCGTACCAGTTCAGTTTAACCCACCCGCATAAAAATAATTGATTTTACATACTTGATACAAGGTTATTTGCGTTGAAGCAACAATAACAATGTCATGTGACATCAGATAAATACCTTCATTTGTATTTGTAGCCTAAAAAATTATGCTGTAACAGAGTGTTCAGAAATCCTCTGATGTTGAAGAGGAAGGGGAATTTCATCAGTGCAGGGTTAAATATACCCTAAAAACATACAATCCCTAAGAAAATGTTTTTAACAAATCTTTTTCTATGACACTACAGATAAAACTGGTAAAGCCCTATAAAAAATATTATTCGTTTATCACCCTATCTGGGCAGGAAATGTGATGAGGGAGGGAGGCTTTTTTTAAAAATTTTTATTTTGCTAAAGCCAAATATTACCCTTGGGTTGGTTGGATAATGCAAACAATATCTACTCACTATATAATAAAATAAATGAAAAAAATAAATAAATAAAATTAAAAAAAAATTTTTTTTCAAAAAAAAAATTAAAAAAAAAAAAAAAAATTGTTTCAAGTACCACAGAAGACATGCGCGTGGGGGTGATAAACTAATATTTTTTTTTATTGGGCCTAAAACTAATCCAATCTATAGTGGTGGGTCCAAGAATTTGAAATAGGGGACAGATGGAGGGGATACCACTTCAGTCCCGCTACGGTTAATTATGGAACTTCAAGATGGCTGGAAATGGCACTCTAAGATGTAAAATTTGAATATAATTTCTTTTTTCTCCATTTTTTTTTACATTTTGGAGAGGAGAAAGGGGTAGACTGGTTGTCCCCCAACTTTGAATCGGCCACTGAACTACATATTTGGATTCACTTTTAAAATAATATCCTCAACAAGGCCATCTATTGTTGAGGGGATGGGATTGAATATTGAACAAACTCAGTAAGGTGCAGGGGTAGTCTTTGATTGGATTACAGAAAAAATTAAATACAATAAATAATATGCAAAATAAAACAGCTAGGGATTTAATTAAAAGCACTAGCGACTTGAGTCGCGGAATTGACATGTTTCAGGAAACATTTCCCATCATCGGTGAATAGAATATTGAAGACCATGTAGTTTTTATAAATATAGATAGGTGATGATATGTAAATGCGAAATGCGAGTATGAATATAATGATAAACAGGTGGGATAGTGATTAGACCATGTGACATCATGACTATATATAGGCACATAATGACTATATACGGGCATACAACATATTATTTGTCAAAGAAAATTTGACAGTCTCGAGCAAGCTTAAGTCTTCCATCATTTACATAAATTTAAGCAGACTTACCACTTGCAAACAGACGACGATGTGGATAAGCCCAAGGACACAAATTATATTTCAAGGGAAATAAAGAAGATAACAGAAAAGGGGAAATTTTTACTGAGTACATGGTATAACAGGAGGTTAGAAGGTTATCCCTCCTTGATATACACAACATATTGCTCTCAGCTCTGTGCCAATAGGCAAAATCCAAACGGAAATAATAGAGACTGTGAATCCAGCACAATGATGCAATACAGTACATGTTATAAAGAATAGGATTTTCCCAAAGTCACATTTTGTTGCTTTAAAATGTACTGTAGACTCTTCATACTTTAAGCATTGGACATCAAATTTGAAAGACACCAACATGCAAATATGTCAATTGACTTTTGACATGGGCTGTACAAGTATTATAACATGAACCCTTAATCCCTTATGGCTATACTGAAGTCAATCAATTTTAATACCCTCACAACTTCACTATATGTAGGTCTGTATGCTTTATTATATGGAATATATGTCACATCTGGAATTTTATGTCACAGGAAATAAGACACAGTTTCTGCACCTGTTGATTTAAATTCTTTCTATGTCATGCGTTCAATTATTAACAACACTAACTGGTATAAACACGTTAATTTGTACCCAAGTAGCTTCTGATTATTTTGTACAATTCATACCCTTTTTGACAACTCCTACTGTACCTAAAAATCTGGTCAATTAATACCCTGTACGAAAAAGTTTAGTCAGATCAAAAACTAATGGTGTGAAACCCAGGCAGAAATTTTTCAACAGACAAGTTTAACCAATGAATAAACATAACTAACATGTTCTTAAATGAATTTCAGATTTTTGTTTGTAGATAACAAAGAGAATCATTTGTTCAAGCTAAAGTAGTGTTATACAGGACCATATCCAAGGGGGATGGGAGAAGAGGGGTGCGAAGGGTGCGTACACCCACCCCCCATCCTCCAGCCAAAACTGTAAATGGTCAACATTTTAAACATAATCGAGAATGTACTTATACAAAATTTGTTATCATGTTAAGATAGCCTTGCACTTTTCACAAATTACAGATTCAGATTCAATATTTTGTCCTATATGAAAATATTATTAGTAATACTGTAAGTCAAAATTTTATAAAAAAAACAAAAAAACAAAAAAAAAACATTAGACATTAGTATTTCCATATAGATAAAATATACAAATTGCTATAAAATTTATTAAACGGCTTTAAACCACTATAATACCAAAGTTTTGACCCTACCGGCAATGTGCCTTGATCCCTGTTGGGAATTCTAAGCAACAACTACCCTGTTGGTTAATTTTTGCATCCCAGCTCACTCCTTCACCCCCATCATGGAAATCCTGTGTATGGACCTGCTGTCCATGAATATAGGTTAAATATAATTACTACTACGTATACTGATAGAAAATTTATCAATACAGTGATTCTGCATTTAAACTAAGGTCAAGTTTAGCCTGAGTCATGCCGTTTCACAATGAATATTAATCATGTGAGTAGGTATTAAAGCTTTTTAACTGGCCATGAAAATCAACTTGCCAAAACAAAAACAAAAAAAACTGATGCCTCATAAAGGAATTCCATTTGCTTATGTAATAGCACTGATGTACAATTCTGTTACATAATCAGCAAAAAACCACAGAAACAGCTGTCCAATAGCCGACAACTGTAGAATTTCCTAAAGGTGTGCACTGGATCCCCATAGTGCATTCATTGAGGGTTATAAGTAGGTTTTTAATTTATCTCCTGGTAGACAGGCCTGGGACACAACTTTTTTAAACCGCTGGAATAAACACTCTTTAATTAATGAATAATGTTAATGAATATTTAATTTATTATTTTGTGCTTATTTTTAAAAATAACAACAAAAACAGCAATTTAGTGAGATATTATTTTTTTTCATTATCTCAGTCTCCGTAGACGTAGAACTATTGTAGGCATCTCTAAAGTATTGTTTTATACAGAAATGGGGATATTCTGGCCACCCTCTGACTTGTCAATGTGGGAATGAGCCTCAGACCATACAACATCTCTTGCAATGTAGTATATTTGAGCATGCCTGCACCATTACAGATGTCACCAGATATAACCAAAGAAAAAGAAGTGTGTTCAGCTAGGCTGGGCAAAATTTAGTGTTGTACAGTACATGGACTCGATAAGAATAAGTTTATTTAATATACTGTATTTTTAAAGTGGTGGATGGTGGGAATACAGTTTCTAAGTGTTCCCTAACCAGTTCACTATTTACAAAAATTTCCTTTAAGCTTTTGGTATTCCATAAATTTCATAACTGGAGTGATTAGCTGAAGTAGATTTACTACTGTAAGTGGAGATTAATTTACAAGAACCAGTGCGTAATTAATAAGAAATGTCATGGTACTTACGAAATTTCCAGAAGCTATGGCATTGTAGAGGTCACGAATGGCATAATCGGGGTCATCAGCACTGAGCTGGGCTGCTTGGGAGGCTGTGAAATTCTTGATGCCTTGATCAGTCTACAAAATATTTAACAACGAAATAAATTTAATGTACACCAATCAGATTAATTTTACTTTGGTTACAAAATGATAGAGTACGGTAACTTCTATGCTATTAAATATTTGAGATAATTTCTGTACTTTCAACAACAAGCCGAAAAAAAAAAAATGGGATTGCCTATAATTATAACACTTTTTAATAGTGGCTTAAGGAGTTAATTGGTTAGAAAAGCAAACATACTAACTGCCTAACTACTTAAAAACTACATTCAACAATAAGAATAAGAATAAGGTGGATAAATATTTGCAGACTTGTCCCAGGTTAAAATGTCATTTTTCCTGTGTCACAAAGTACCGTAAAACCTTGAATTGAAGAGCTGGGGTTCTTTTTTTTGCAAACTTTGGATGGGCTTCTTTTCAAGATGGGCTTCATTTCGAGATGGGCTTCTTTTCGAGGCTACTTTTGCAAAGTAAGAAGGGGGACTTCTTTTCAAAATGAATCCTGTAAATTTTGTGAATTTGTAGTACAAAAGCAATAAATAAGGCCAATCTAACATCAATCTGTATCATGAAGTGTATTTAAATGGCATTATTGGCAATGGCATTGTTTATGATAGACTTTCTAAAATAAATATTAGGAAACCTGGTGGCCCTGATGGTATACCAGCAAAGATTATACGAGAGTTTGCTTATGAAATTAGCCGTCCTTTAACTGACGTGCTAAATGCATCATTCTGTGAAGGTGTTCCCCAGCAATGGAAACGAGCTATAGTCGTCCCTATTCCTAAATCTAATCCGCCCACTTGGGATAAGCTACGCCCAGTTTCTTTGACAGATCACTTCATTAAAATAGCAGAATCTTTTGTCATTGACTGGCTTTTGCAGGATATTGGACCTAAAAATTGACGACAACCAATTTGGTAATCGCAGAGGGCGTTCAACTTCACACTATCTTGTTAAATTGCTGAACAACATCTATGAACATGCAGAAAATCCCAAAAGTCTTTCTAGGATTGTAATAACTGACTTTAGCAAAGCTTTTGACCTTGTTGATCATATTGTAATTCTAAAATTAATTAATTTGGGTGCTAGACCATCAATCTTGCCATGAATTTGTAATTTTCACTCACAGCGTTCTCAATGTGTGAGGTATCAGAATACTTTGTCTTCCTGGCTGCAACTCCAAGGAGGTGTGCCGCAGGGTACTCTGTTTGGTCCTGCCACCTTCTTAGCCCAAGTCAATGATGCTGTATTATATATGGATACTAATAAATTGGAACTTAAATATGTAGATGATCTTACCATAATTGAAAATACTTACACCAACCAAATCTCAACGCTACAATCAGATTTGGACTCTCTTGAGGAGTGGGTTAATAACAACAATATGAAACTTAATCATGATAATGTAAATGTATGTACTGTATATGGATCTCACATTTGCTAAATCTTACCATGCAGCTGATACATTAAAACTATTAGATAAGCAACTTAAACCTACTAATGCAACACTTCCAGTGACTTGAAGTGTTTCTATCATTTTTCGCTGTAAACTGATGGGTAACTTTTATGTTACTTCAAAAATGGGCAAGTTAATTTCAAAAAAATATTTTTATGATTTTTTTTTATATTTAGCATGGGACAATACATCTTTAAAGTCAGACTCTGGGGGAAAGAGCATAACCGACCATTTGTACACCTTTTTCCTCCTGTTTTTAAATATTCAAAAATCTGTATCTCATTCACCGTTGCTCAGTTTTGATTAAACTACTGTACTTTTTCTATCTTAAAAAAAACAGTTCTACAACATATCAAAACATTTTTTTCCTCCGGTTTCCTCAAGGTTTTACAGTATCTAATAAAAAAAAAAAACACTAAAAATTCTATTTAACACACTACAATATTCTTTGCCAGTTGCATCCTACCTGATAAATGTATTATTATTTTGGAATAAAAAGCAAGTCTACCTAAAAAAATATTTCTGAAAGCAATCATTTTGTCAAGCACTGCTTTGAAAGAAGCATTTTTACAGTATTAGAGTGCTAATTTTGGGCATCTAGAGGTGCCTATTCCAAAAAAAATTTCAGCTGCAAACATGGTGCCACTGTGATGTGGGTTTAGTCTCTATGTCTAGGAACTTCAACGACCACTAATCATGAATTCTGTGGGCAACCACTGATGAGGAATATGGAATGAAGTTGTATTCGTGACAAGAAATTCTGGCTTTTGAAGGATACTAAGGCAGGAACTAATACTAATAAACAATCATCCTAACCACAATGGTACAGCTTTCTAAAACAACTATCAAATACTGTGAATTGTAAAGGAAATTATAAAATTATTGACCTTAAAATGGAACTTGCAATACACTGGCTTCCCGTCCTTGTTCACAAGCTTGAACGTGTGTGATCCGTAACCATTCATATGGCGGTAACCATCTGGAGTGCCACGCTCGGAGAACAGGAAACTGACTTGGTGAGTGGTCTCTGGACGGAGACTGATGAAATCCCAAAACATATCAGGGTCCTAAAGAAGGGTTTAAAAACGAAGAAACATACAGATAAGGAAAAAACAATATACTAATTGACTACTGTGTTTGTTGTAATTGCTGTTTTTGATGTTATTTAAAACAAATTTTTAAAATATTCTGTACACTGGGGAAAAAAAATTAAAATGTAACAAATGAAAATATAATTAACTTATTAAAACTGGTTTAACACAACATACACAAATCTATAAAAGCAAAATGTGTAATGTGAAAGAGTGCATTTCGTCAATACTTAATCTGGATAAACAAGATATTGCCAAGATTTTCCAGGTAATTATCTTACTCATATAAAATTCATTTGTCTTTTAAACAAATTATGTAGATGAATTCAACAAAATTTGTTAAATTCAATTCATATTTTTCAATGTAAATTAAATTTATATTACTATGCATACTGTACTAATTATTTGCTTAGTTTATTTCAATTTTCTATTGTGCCAATTTATAGTGTGGATAATTGTGCAAGGGAATGTAATATAACACTATCATTATTTGTTGTGTTATCATAAGAAATCAAAATACAGTATTACAGTACCTTCAAATGAGTGACTGGGTTTCTCTTTTGCGTGTGAATGAAGCTGGGGAAAAGGATCGGATCGCGGATGAAAAAGATTGGGGTGTTGTTTCCAACTAGATCCCAGTTACCATCTTGAGTGTAGAATTTAACAGCGAAGCCACGTGGATCACGAGCGGTATCAGCCGAACCTGACTCTCCACCTTCACACAGAAAATGTCCAAAATGTAATACATACTATAGTCGCCATATTTGTTTCTTATAAATAAATTTTCTCCCTTTTTATAGTTTACAATTATCAAATCCAAACAAATCAAAGTTGACTTTTCCTTTTGAACATACAACAATTAACAGAAAATCCACTTCTTGGTAAACAAAATTTGGGGAAAAAATTACAGGAAAATTGATCAGAGTAAGCAAAAATGGGAGAATGCAACAAAAGGAAGGAGGATCAAATAAACTTAAATTTCTGACTATCCCTAAAAGCATAACATATAATGAAATATTATTTATAATACAGTATTATGATTGTTTTATAATAAAAATATGCACTAAGTCGGACTTAAGGGGAATATATTTTGTGTTATATATAACATCGTTTTTAAAAAAAATTGTTTTCTAATTTCTCCACTGTCTAATTCCCCTTAAGGTAGATTTTAGTAACATAATAATAATAATAATAATAATAATAATAATAATAATAATAATAATAATAATAATAACCAACAAAAATAATAATAACAACAATAAATGCAATAATATGAATGACAATAAAAATGGGCAATAACAATAATAATAATAATAATAATAATAATAATAATTAATAATAATAATAAAATACTTCTACCAAAAACATTAGTAATAACAAAGGCAAAGCAATATCAACAAAAACAAAATAAAAGTAATAGCAAACAGTAACAATAAAAAGAAAATAAAGAATATTAAAGTGACTGCAAAGTGCAGTGTAATATAATAACTGATAGGTAAATAAAATAGAAACAGAAAAAAAAATATACAGTAAAAGTTCGCATGATCTAGGTTAGAACATATGGTAGTAATCTACTGTAACGTAAAAAATAAAGTACTGCTGAAATACAGTAGAATATGGTCATGCAAATACAAATAGATGAGAAGGAATTATTATTCAAAAAATATTTTGAAATTTCCAAGGTCCAAAAATATTGCTGTATCATGATGGCAAACTTCCAAATAGACAAAATATCCAACAAAATGTTAGTACCTGTTTTTACAGATGATACAAAAGTTTTATAACATCGTTGGTCTACCAGCATAATTAAATCCATAAAATACTAACGAATCATAAACTAGAATTGTTAAAATATAAATTGTTGGTATGATACTTGTGAAAAGGTAAATATGGAAGTAATAATACATACCTACAGTTGAAAATCTCACTCCAACTGGTGTCTTTTTCCCAATGTGGTCAAAGACACATGCCTTGGTGTATTGTGTGATGTCATGTGTCACTTCAAAATATCCAAATGCCCCTAAAAATAAAAATAAACATTCATATTGATATACTGAACATTAACAAAATTAAATGATTTATGTAAATTTGATTAATTTTTGAAAGATGCAAAATAAAAAATTCTTTTATTGTCATTTATGGATAACTTCACAAGTAAAATTTGTTTTCCTGATGCTTATACTATTCGTAAATACAAAGGTTTGTAACAAAAGACAAAAACAGGTAAATTACAAGATAAGTGCACAAAAATATAGCACAAGAAAGTATAATTATCTGTCAATTTCAGCATTCTGCAGTAGATGTTATGAATGAATGAATTTTATTTTTACATTTTTTAGGGTACATAGGCGACCAGATTTGTTAAATGTGTATTGATGATGCAAAGGGTAGGAAAGACCTTTATGTCTAATCATTAAAGCTGTCAACTTCGGATCCAAAAGCTTTGTTTTTTTAAGTCGGCTAAGGGTCGCACTGCGAACGTTCACAATTCCTCCGTTGCGCTGAGTTGTGTGGGAAATATTATGGTATGAGATGTCATAATTGACCCCTACCAAGGCGACCTTGGTTTGGTTTACGTTCAGATATAAGATGAGCCGGCTCAGGTCTCGCATTGCGAGAACTCAGCTGGATCTAAAGTCGGACTAACACTTTAGGTCGACGTTGGGCTGGCTTAAAATTTATTGATTGTTTACACTTGAAAAAAGTGGCACTGAGCCACTCCTGAGCTGACATAATTATTAAGTGATTGGGCTCCAAGTCGACCTGCAGTAAGAAGGGAGTGAAGTTTTTTTTTCACAAGAAAGATTGCTGGCCCAACTCCAATTATATACAGTATACGCACCAGATAGAACGTACACAGCTAAATCCACATTACATTTGTCCTTACTGTATCACTATATCAAGTAAGATTTTTGTTACTATGAAATAGGGTGTGTTTTTTGGAAGTATGCCAAGGTTACATAAGTTTGTGGGATGAAGTGCCTGGTGCAATTGGAAGCCTGCAAAAAAATAAATAAAAACACACTTCTACCAGACAGCATTCTACACTGGAAATGTTGGCAGATTTGAGGGGCCATGAGCGTCACTAGATGGATACCAATACTATGCCTTACATGCACGTAATGATTAAGTTCACACAACAAGAAAAATCACTATAAATATAATTACTTTTTCACACAATATCAAAGAGTACTTTACATTTTTTTGAATATAAAATCACCAACTTTACTTGTTTAACGATATTTTGCTTAAATGGTAAGAAGATCAGGTGATAATCTAAAATATTCTATTAAGGAAATACAGTTACTCTCTTTAAAAGATGTAGTAAATATTGTAACACTCTACCATACGGTGTCATTAAACTCTCTTTCTATTATACATACAACTATTGCAGTAGGTTACAGATGTATTTCCTCCACTAGAGAAAGTGAAATTATGAGACAATACATTGATTGAAATGTATTACAGTAATGCGAGTACTGTTCTGAATGATAATATAATACAATCATTGTTATTATTGTTGGTCACCCGAAATCCTAAATACCACGCTACTCCAAGTATTGTCACTGGTTGGGGCTGCCAAATACTTCAGCAAAGAATGGCGAAGAGTACTAATAATTAGAATATAATGAACAAGGGATGAATACATAGCATTATCAGAATACGACGCCATGGAGAGATTTATATATTATTAGATGTATTTTGTTGTTGTTCACATGTTGCTGATCGGATAATGATGGTCGCTGTTGTTACTCTGCGTCTATTGATATCTATCCGCTTTTGTTGTTACTATATGTCATGAACACTTTTCATAGCAAGGCCAACAATTGATAACCACTCAACCATCTTCTGATTAGCTTTACAGTATTGGAATACTATAAGCATTCTACTGAATGCCTATTGATACCAGCATACTAGTAGGCCTACCTACCAAACAAGAAAGAGATCAACAAAATATGCAAGTCATAATGACCTTCCTACTATAATAATAATATAGTATTTCTGAGATATCAATGTTAATGCCTTGCATTCTAGTACACAATTGATCAATGTTGATATTCTAAGCTCATCTACCTTAAGTAATTTGGGGACAGCTGAGGACTGGACCTAGTTTATACAGTGTACTCTGTTTGGTTTCTTTTGTGTCTAATGGCATGTCTTTCAGATAATATACCCAGTGGCGTCACTACAGGGGCTAGGAGGTACTACAGCCACCCATCGGGGAGTCACTGCCCTACGGCCTTCGGATGGTGCTATGCACCAAAACAACACTTGCCCTGCTTGTCGGGGATGTTGCCCTGCCATCGGGTAAATGCTAGTGCTGCCACTAGCTATACCTAGACCAAATTAAAATAAATAATTATCATTTATTATTAGTATAATATTATAGAATGTTCATTGCCTCTATCAAAATCAGATGCTCTACACTTCATACAGACAGTAGCAAAGCCGCTGGAAGGAGTTGGGGTGCCTTGGGGGAGCTAGCTGGGCATGAATGATTTCAAGGTAGCTCCTGACTATGACTAGCTCTAATTTAGAATCTCCAAACCAACCCACCACACCAAAAAAATATGTTAATGAGAAGCTAACCACAATAGAAATAATTAAATTACACTACGCAGAAGTACTGTATCACATCTATCCATGTTACCTGTATAGCATTGCTGTACTAAACCAGATTCCAGTAGTAATGGTGAATTGATAGCCCAATCTCTACCATTCATGTTCAATAGTTTCATAATATAATTAACTACTAACTACCAAAATTTGCATACAATTAAATTCTATGTATCATAAGTATAAAATATAATGATTATATAACAAATGATAAAAAATGATCATGAAAATAATATGTCGGTTTTATATAGCGCTTTATGCATAAAGTCTCTAAGCGCTTCACGTTATTACCCCGGTCATTGGATCAAACACATATGGAACACACTCAGCACCCTGGGGAGAATTCCATAATATTGCAGCTAGTAATCAGCGCAAATGTGTTTGAACCTACCAGGTACCCACTTGTATTCTTGGTTGGAGAGAGGCAAAAGTAGGTAAATTATCTTGCCTAAGGAAACAAGCAATGTGACGAGCGTTGGTCTCAAATTTCCGATCCTGCAATCAAAAATTCAACACCTTACATGCTGCATCACACGCCCTCACATGATAATTAAAACAAAACCACCCTGAAATGTGTTAATTAATCTAAGGACCATGTTTAGGGCGCAGGAGTCCCAAGTCTCCAGCAGATTCCCGGAATAGAGTCTCCTGGAAATCTTCAATTGATATTGATAATAATAATAATTAAAAATAATTTTAATTGATTGTAATTAGTACACCAAAGCCTATGTTGACGTTTGTTGACACCAGTTAATATGTTGACGGTTGTTGTTGACGATTTTTGGCCCTAATAAGTATGACCAATGATATTAATATAGGCTAGACCTAATCAATTATTGATACAACAATGTATTTATCTATCGATCAAAACATCAATTTCGATTAAATAGCAGCTTTTCGACTGTGGCAATGTAGATAGAAAACTGCAGTTTTTGGCACTGCAGCAGTGCCGATAGATTCAGCTTTTTTCGCAATGTGGCAATGCCATTAGAAAACAGCTTTATTCGCACTGTGGCAGTGCCGAGAGAAAACTGCAGCTTTTTGGCACAGTGGCAGTACCGATAGAAAACTGCAGTTTTTTTTCGCACTGCAGCAGTGCCATATCAGCACGGCGTCAGTACTGATAGTAGCCACTACGCTTTTACAGAGCAAATTATGATACACTACCATGACCCAATAAGCACCCCTATACAGGCTTGCTATTGGGAAACGGGAGTAGGGTGTGCAAGTAATCCGTGGAAATTATAAATAGTAGGACTATCGATAATAGAAACCAAAACTTATATTATGTGAGCATTCAATTGTCTTTAAAACTTAGACATTTTCGAATTGGGGGGGGGGGGGGAAGGAGATGCATACGCACCCATAGATTCAGGCCTGTGTTAAGTCATTCAGATTTAATAGGAAATCATAATTTTGTTTACCTGCTCCTTTGGCATGGACCACTCTTTCAGGAATCCTTTCCTGATTGAAGTGAGCCATTATGTCCTGATACTGGAAGTCATGCATCAGCATCGGTCCCCTAGGACCAACAGTTTCGGATGCAGTGTGCAATCCGATTGGTCGACCGGCAGATTCAGTGGCATTCTCCTGCGGTTTACCCTGAAGTAAATAAACACAACTTTAAATCTACTGAAACAGGAAATAAGACTGAGCTTTCATTTAAAATACTGTATATAGCTTGTAATTTCTTACCTCCATTTGGGCTTTAAAATCTGATAATTGAGATTTTGCATGGTCTTTAGAGGCCATTTTGACTGGTTGTTGACAGTGTATAGCCAGAGAAACCTGTGATCAACACAAGACTAAAAGCAAATAGAACACGCCTATCTGCTATCCTTTCACTCCCAGGGCCTGAGAAAATAGTTGACAACATCAACAATGGGCTGTATACATCTACACCAGCACATATTAAACTGGCCTGTGATTGGCTGATTCTACACTTATCAAAAGTACAGGACAATGCATGCTTAATGCATAGAACCAGTTCTACCACTAAAACTTAATATCTAAATTTTGCTATGTCATTGCAATGAGAGCCTGGGTCATTGTGGAAGCCAACACCTCGACCTTGTAATGTAAATCCCAATTGGTTATTTCATAATCATAATTCAAAGCTCTTGCCTCACAAGACAAGTCATTTTGGCATTCACTAACAAACAACTGAGATAATAGGCTGCAATTCAAGTACTATAGATTATACTATATTTTGGTACAAGTACTTAAGTAAATCAGGCTAAATATTTGCAACATATGGTATTTTATTAATGCAGTAGGTATGAACAGTTATATAATTGTTATGATGTACCGAAACCATACATGGGACAAATGCAACATTTATTAACTCAGGAAATACTGTCATTACCAAGGTCTTAGGAAATAAAGTAACACAAGGCCAATTATCAATAAGAAATATATGTTGTTTCTTTAAGTGAAATTGCGATCTAAATTAAGTACTTTAAAAAATAACAATAGGATAATTTTAACAAATGATAATTTTAATATACCACAGTTTATTTCGTAGTAAATTAAGGTAAAGGTAGTACTGTATTCATTATTTAACATGGGTGGAATTAGCTGTTAGCCCATTGTACAAAGCCTCGGTATAGTGTGGTAGTGTGGCCAGTTAATTTCTACGCAGCCTTTTTTTTTATACCGAGTAGTGAAACACTTGGTACCCATTTATACTCCTGGGTCGAAAGCAGTGGCATCACGCTAGGGCGCTGACAGGGGAGCGGAGGGCCAGGGTACCCCAGGCAAGAGGGGCTCCAACATTGTAGTTTAAAAAAATATAATATAAACTATAATACCATAGTTTCATTCAATGTGGCCCCTACAGTTTTAATCATTGAAAATACACTGGCTTGGCATCATCATACAGAAACCGCATTATCTCAAGGCTCATGTAAAAGATTGCTGCAGTTTTTTGTTTATGTTGCGGTTTGTCTTGCGAACCACACTTGATCGATGTCGCGCATGACACAAGCGTGGTGTCTTTTGATATGGCCTGTCATATTCCTTTTTATGGTTTTGTACGTTTCTCACTAAAATACTCTCTGTATTTACTTACCCCTACATAGAGTACATAGGCCTACTGTTAGCCTATACCCGTTCTGAATGTTGGCCTATGTAATCTATGTTGGTTTTGTCATAAAATTGTCTGAAATATTTCATCATTCATAGACCATGTTCTCTGACAATGTAGTTAAAGTTCATAAATGCCATAAGCTTACAACCCCACCAGGGGCCTTCACCTCCTGGACTCCGACTAGTGGCCCTACATGGTCCCTGGCCTGCAGCGTCTGTTTGTTCGCTCCACTTGCAAATTTAACGCCCACTTCCCTTGCTTTTTAGGCCCCCAATAACAGCCACTGCCAGGGCCCCACAAACCCTGTGACGCCACTGGTGAAGAGGGACAACTTGTTTTATTTTTTGTTTGTCTATTTTTCATTTTTAATTTGTATATTTGTGTACCAGTTCTCAGCTTCCTTAATTTTACAGTTAAATTTGTTTCATGGTATGTATAATATAAAAAACTTCTGTTGTAAAAAAAAAAAGATTTTATTCATTATTATTATTGTGAAAATAAATTTTTTAGTAGCGAAAAGCCTCAACCACAAAACATTGTGTTCATATGGGGCTTGCCATGCCAAAACCAGAATCAGGGACCAAAACAAGAAAATAGTTCTTTAATAATACGTTGCGCAATCTATGGGCCACGGTTTGGAGGGCCGCGAAGTTGTCCTGGGAAAAAAGTCAAGGAAGATGCCTAATACAAGATTAAAAGAACACATTAAAGATGTAACTGACCATACAAGTAGAATCCTAACAAGAGCATCCAGAAAACAATCATCAACAGAACTCAACAAATCTGCAATCACTGATCATATGGTAAAAAAACAACCACATCCTTGACTGGGAAAACTCCAAGATCCTTGAAAAAGAAACTGAATGGCAGCACAGAAAAATCAAAGAAGCAATATGGATAAGAACAGCTTAAATGATCAAAACATGATCCGAGATGAATGTGCGCACCAACTATCCCACATACCGTACTTGCATGAATAAGCGCCCGGAAAAAATAATTCTCCAGAGAAAATGGCTCATGACAAGAATGCAGAACAGCAGAATAGCAGATGCAATTAGTGGTGGTGGGTAGTGGTTAGCTGGTTGGCCATGAATTGTGGCCGATTGAGATTAGCAGGATGAATTTTTACCGCTGATTTTACTGATTGAAATTTTATGATAATAAAAAACATTGGTAAAAAAAACCCCCTGTCCTCTACCCCTTTTTGGGATTTACAGAAAATGACTCTACAACGGATGGACCATGCAGTTACTACGGCCTGTTTTAATAGATTTTTCGCCTGTATCTTAAAACACTCCATTCAACTCTGGTGCAGACATTTTGTAACTTGCATTGTCTTGGTTGCAAAATGTCCACAGCAAAGTTACAACAATTCTGGGTTAAGGACCTTTGAGTCACATATCTGCCACAAAAAAATTCTTTTTCCTTCCTTTGAGTTTCTTACAGCAGTAGTAACTTGTTGAAGACTAACAACAGTAACTGTAACTATAAACCATATAGTTACAAATCTTCCTGCAGTTACATCATAAGCATGTGTTCAAAATGTTAAAAGATCAACTAGGTCCCTGAGGAACAAGATAACCTTTATGAATTCTACTGCTCTGCATACATGTCGCTGATATAATAGTTACCAGCAGTCTGCAAAATAGTAAACACCTGACATAGACATTGCCACCAAACTTCAGTCATAGAGTACACCTGCTCAGCTGCACCTGCAGGGTAGCTGAGCTGTTAGGGCCCCAATGGTGGGGCTCTGGTGGGAGATTTTAAGGGCACAGCCGGGTTGAGTGAGAGAGCCTAGGCTTTTAGTTATTTAGAATAATATGGTTATAGGGCCTGTTTGTGCTGAGAATAGAATTCCGGTTTCAAAACCAGTATTCTCAAAGATCTGTATTTTCTTGTCAGTGGAAATGGGTCCCATAAAAAAAAAACCCGAATTCAAATACCGGTTTTGAAAACCCTAATTGAATCTGGTCTCAATCGCCAAATACCGTACTCAAACCCGGTCGGGAAACGACTGCATCACCTGCCCCTTTTTCGACGAATTAGATTACTTCGACCAAATGAATTTCTGTTGACCTGGAAATTTCCACGCTTCATCGCACTTCCGCCTAACAAACTCGCTGTGGGTAAAAATGACGTCAATGTACAACGACCTCCTTAGGAGAAACCGGTTTCTGTTCGTGTTAAAATTAAACTGCAATGCGGTCTTTGTTTATAAACAATTATGAAAACCGGTTTCACTGAATACCGTACTTTTGTATTTTGTCAGTAGAAACAGGCCCACAGTAGTTTTCAAAAAAAGAAACTGATGACATTTTTGTAGGGCCCTTTTTATATTTTTGTCACAATAGTAGCTTGGACTTCTGTGGGACCTGTCTGTTCCTTCTCATCGCTACTGGATTTCTGTGTCCAGTAAAATAGCTTTCTCAAGATTTATATTTTTGTTTGTTTCGCATTTAACCAATTTATCCTTTGGGATGAGCTCTACAATTAGCTGTTATGGACACAACACATTTCGTGTTGAGTTGAAGGTATCATTCAATGGTGAACATGAGAACAGCTTAGGTCAGTAAATGGCAAAAACAGGTGTACCCGCTGTGTGGAATGACCTCTATGGTCTCTCAGGGAGGGGAGCCTCAACTCCTTCTCCTGTGACTTTGTCATTATGACACTGTACCCACTGTTTGTGCGCTGAGCTAAACCATGGAGATACTATCAGATCTTTGATCCTGGTTCAATTTAATGCCAGTTTTACTAGTGTTTCAACTAGAGGGCTAAAATACCACAAGTTACAATAGCTCAACTGTCTTATGGATATTTAAAACCTTTCAGAACTTCCTAGTTGAATTCCATTACTGCTCTACAATGTTGAGGCATTTATTTATTAGTCAAGGTTTATTCAAAACATGTTGCATTCACAGCAAAAACTGAATTAAATCAACATTTACAGCTAAAATAATAAATAAGTAAAAACGGATACAATAAAAAAAAAGTCAAGCACCCAGCATCAAAAAAATTTGCACTGACAACAAATCAAAACGAGCAAACTACAGTAAGTTAATTGTCATTTAACAATCTGACCCTGAACGGAATTGGGTTTTGACTGTGCTGTTTAGTACGGATTTTGGGCATGGAGAGTGTATTGGCATTTCTGAGAGAGAAACCACTTTCTTCAGATCTTAAGTTATGGAATTCATTAGACTTCATTAATGACTTAGCAAAAGTGTGACAAATGTCATTCCATCTTTTCTTTAGTTCCTCTATATTACATTCGCTCTTTTTCTTTTCAGGCACCTTATTTTGGTACCTATTACCTCTTTCTGTTTGACAATCTTCAAATTCATTTAAAACTAATTTGAAAACTTTTTTGTTTACAAAATCGCTTTAATTGGGTTAATTGTTCACTGTCCCTTTGATGTTTTTTAATTTGGCGCGTTATAAATTTCTGCATATTATTATTAATTATTCAACAAGAGCCGAATTATAGGATGAGTAGTTTACCCCTAAAATTTTCTGACAGACTCTTTTCTGGATATGTTCCAGGGCTGAATGCTGCATTTGTGTAAAAATATGACGCTTTAAAGTACAGAATTTCAATTTATCCAATGCGAATGCATGCGATACACCAAGAGAATGTCGTTCCGATTATAGGGTGTCTAGGGCAGAGGCCCCAAGTTGGATGAAGCCATTTCCGAGAGGTCTGGTTAAATACAGAAACCTTCCTTAACATGTTTAACGGCAATTCCACAGTAACTTCGGAACACTTTGACACAAACTTTTAGACTTCATGTAGC